CGATCGGCGACATCCGTCCCAGTGATTTGGTTCTGGGACGCCTTGAGCCGTCCGGCTCCGAGGGCTCTCTCGCCGAATTCATCGTCGCATCATACGAGGATGTGGCCAAGGTCCCCACCAGCGTCGACATTGACGTCGCTGCTGGAGCCCCCACGGCTGCCTTGACAGCCTATCAGACCATTTGTCCTCATGTAAAGAAGGGCGACAAGATCTTCATCAACGGCGGCTCTGGTGGCACAGGAACATTTGGTATCCAAATTGCCAAAGCTCTCGGCTGTTTCGTCACCGTCTCCTGCTCCGCCGACAAGGCAGCGCTCTGCAAAGAGCTTGGTGCCGACGAGACTATCGATTACACCTCATGCGACGTTACCCAAATCCTTAAGGAACGCGGCCAAGTTTACAAGCTTTGCGTCGACAATGTCGGCAACTCTCCCGCCGACCTTTACACCGAGTCCGATACTTTCCTTGTCTCCAAGGGCCAGTATGTTCATGTTGGCGGTGCCATGACTCTGGACGGCGCGCGTCGACTCTCCCAGTCCCTGCTCTTACCAAAGTTCCTTGGCGGCGGCAAGCGCAAGTTCCAAACTTTCCTCGTCAAGAATGACCACGACGACCTTCAGCAGATCTCCGACTGGATAGCTCAAGGCAAGCTGAAGACCATCATTGACTCTACTTTTGAGTTTGATGAAGTCCCCAAAGCCTACCTCAAGCTTAAGGGCGAGCACGGTCAGACGCCATTTGGCAAGATTGTCGTTCACGTTGTGCCCAAACCTTGATCGTTTACAACCAACAGAGTCAGTTGTTACATGCACATATAAGCGACGGCGGCGGCGATAGCACTAGCACCAGTAGCTGCGAGATAGCCTTGATTTCTTCACGGATGATTGGGTTTCCTATGTTTGTCCGTCTTATGACGTTAATTCCCTTGACGAATGGCGCGGGGGTCAAACTTCGCATACACCTCTTCGATTATCATTACTATTGCTTGATTTGATTATAGCAATACACCTTGAGCTCTTTGATGGCGACTTTCTTTGCATCTCAATTCGATTACTGTTGCCCGTCCCTCTGATATGCATCTACTTTGAGTTCAACCATAAAGGAGTGGAGGCTGGAGTAAACATACTCGTGTAGCAGGGCTCGAGGATACTTCAACGCCGTCACATAGTTGAGCCTCTCAGTAGCTCTGAGGAACCACTCTCGGCGCCTTCAAGTGAGAGAGACACATGGCTTCCGCATAGCTGTCAATTTGCAAATCTTTGCCCCAGCATGCTAATGCTGCGTCGTTTGACTGATGTTGCTTTACGGGCGGCTTTATGTTAGAGCGAGGGCCAAGAATCTCGTAGTTGTGCGAGTGCACCAAGTTGAGGATTATAGCGTCGAGTTATGACATTTGAAATACATGCAACTGGGGATCACGAAGTGTAGAGACAAAGAGTGAGATAGAAAACGCTTGTAATTCATGGGTATCATCGTAAAAAGGAAACACGTCCTGCGATCTTGGCAAGCTACGTCCTTGATGGTGAAGACATACTCATACAACCCGCCACCGCTCGTAATCCATTGCCTCGTCGGAGAGCTTCGATTTGAGAAGCTGCAACACCCATTGAGCATCGTCAGTGCGCCCAATTTCTGTTAAATGCTTCGCCGTATCCATGCCCATTGATGTTATGCGCGCAACAAATCGCTGAACGTTTGGGGCCCGTTTCGCTCCTACAAAACTTGGTTGAGGCGGCACGACAAGCTTGTCCGTTTTGAAGAAGTGTAGTGCGCGCTCAAAGCTTGGGTGAGTGGGGTGATGTAGGTCGAGATGCGCACGATCGATGGACATCGGATGGGGTAGTGCCGGTTCAAGGGCAACGTAGTTGTCGAATAGTGCTTCGGAAGGCCGTGGCCTGTTCCAGGCTTCGACTGTTGAGTACCAAGAGAGTGACCGCCAAGCATGGCTTAGAAGCTGCGGCAAGTTCTTGTCCGATTTCCACCTGTCGTTGACCCTCAGGATGGTCGCATAAGCACTGTTTAGATTCCTGTCATCGGAGCCGTTGGCCTTTGTCTTGATGAGACTTGTTAGAATGAAACTGAGGTGTGTGCCGCGAGGGTCCTCTGGTATTGACGGTCCGTCCTGCCTCGCCAAGCGATCTGCCCATGCCCACACAACGGCCTCGTGACCTTCCGGCAACGAGGAATCGCATGAGAGCCTTAAGGAAACTCGCGTCCCCCAGAAACGCACCATCTCGCTCCTCGCCGGAAGACCGTAACCAATCAAGAACTCGTAGACCAGCTGCCGATTCCATAATGGCACCTTGTATGGACAATGGACTTGACTGAAGAACCTGGTGATACTTGGCCATAAGGCACCCTGTTGCCGCCTTCCGATTCATCATGCCTCGCGCGACAGCCTTGTCGAAGACTTCCATCGGATCCTTTTGTAATGCGTCTGCGCGGGGGGTTGTGCGGATGCCCTTCTTGAACAGCGGATTCGAGAGGATGGCGCGGAGATGTTGGTCGGTGGGTCTGTGATGTTGATGAATGCCGGACTGCTCAGATACTGTTGGACTAGATAATTTGTTGGGCGACGACGTGGGTTCATCGGGACCCCAGCCATGTTCGCGATCGAGATTCGATCGAAAGGACGTCTTGAGTGCATTGAGGAGCTTCTGAGATTCGGTACGAGAAAGAGGTAGAGGTTGGTGAATGGAAGGGAATACGCCCTTCAGGGAGGAAAGCGATTTTGTCGTGTTGAACATGGCAGCAACCAGATGCCTCCGTGCCCAGGATGGCTACCTTGGCTAGATGTAGAAAGGATCGAATCGGTAGATACTGGTTCTCCGTTACGATATCGTTGATTGGGTTGGGAGCAATTTAGCGAGAAGGTCGTGCCCAATGAGGACCACAAGTCGGAGACCCTTCGTTGTTAAGAATGGCAACAGGTGGTATAGGCGAAAGTATGGCTTGATGGCATCACGTCAGACAGGGGACTGGTGGTTCACCACGAGGCCGGACAGAGCGAGGCTACTACAGTCACATGAGTCCCGAAGGTCGGCTCACGTGATAAACGGAAGGACCCTTGGCACCGCTACAACATTAATCCGTGCTGTCCACAGCCCCGTCGTAGTATGGACTAGACCCAAAGCGTCAGCAAAGGGGGCCGTTCCTGCTGCACACGGCCGCTGAAGTGCCTGGAGCATGGCCCCTGGCTGCTCCCTTGCAGCACCCCCTACCCGAACTCAGCTGCCCTGCACGCACACACGCTCACGCCTGTTTCTTGTCTCCAGGTCCTGTCCCAGTTCGCCCCAGGCTGGAGCCTAAGGTTCCATTCTCAGTTCAAGGTCAACTTTTTCTGAGCTGCACAAAACATCCTCCTCCATCCACCTCATCATCATCACCAACCCCATCGAGCCCACCGACCGCCTGCACGACGTTTCCTTCCGTCCATCCACCACATTTCCTTTTTCCCTCTTCCACACCTAGTCGATCCTCAACTCGACATCGAAAGCTGCCTTGCCCCCCGGGACAGTGCGTAATCGAGCCTGCTCCTTCCCACGTGGAAAAACCCCCCAAATTTTGTGCTTCATCTAGCACCACATCATGTCCGACGTTCAAACGCGGCCTGCTGCCTCGCGCGGCAGGGGCTCTGGTCGCGGTGGCAGAGGCGGATTTGCCAGCCGTGGAGGTCGCAACGGCGGCAGGACCAACGGCGCCGACAAGACTGATTCGAAGTCCGAGGTCGACAACCCGAGCGCGTTTGACGATGAGGGAGCGGTCGGCGAACTCAAGAAGCTATACGGCGCCAAGACGCCTTTGATTCAAGAGATGTTCCCTGAGTGGTCTGAAGTCGACATTCTGTTCGCTCTTCAGGAGACAGATGGTGATGAGACCGAGGCTGTCACGCGCATTGCTGAAGGTGCGTTTTCGCCTCCCCACAAGCTTGCGTCGCGTCTACCCCAATTGCCATGTTCAGCCCCCTTCTGTGGTCTAGTCGGCCGTCACGCCCGCCCAATTCACATTCCACCTCCCAATCCATGATCGGCGATACGATTTCGTCTTCAAACTGGCCACGCGGCTAACCAAGTGATCTCGCAGGAACCATCTCTCAATGGGGCGAAGTTTCCAAGGTGAAGAAGGTCTCCCGTGCCAAGGCCAAGGATTCGACCACTCCTGCCACTAACATCGACTCATCTGCTTCCATCAGCAGGCCTGTACGTGGCGGTCGCATCGTTTCAGAGGGTGGACGCGGCCGCGGCCGAGCCACCGAGCGAGGTGGGCGTGGTGGTCGGGGCAGGTCCTCACAACCGGCTCCTACGAACGGAGCTCGCCAGACAACAAAGGACAGCCAGCCTCTCTCGGTGCCCACCGAAGAGTCGCCCGCTTGGGGCTCCAAGACGGATGATTCTGTCATCCAGCCCACCACCATTGCCATCGCTCCCATTGATGAATCTCCTCAGGTTCCCGCCCCGCCTTCAAACGCTCCCAAGACTTGGGCCAGCATGCTCCGCCAGGTTGCCGTTCCGAAGCCCTTCGCTCAACCTAAGGAAGCTCCCACCGTGAAGCCTTCCGAATCCATTGAACCTCTCCCTCCCGTCACCCACGCTGAACCCGAAACCGAGCCCGAGCCTACTCCCGAGGCTCAGCCCGAGCCCGAGATCGCACCTGAAGCTCCCGCCGAAGCCATTGAGGAGCCCATCGCAGCTGAAGTACCTACCGTCATTGAGCCTGAAGTGGCCCTACAGCCGTCCAAGGACCAACTGACTGAGACCAATCTTGAACAGGTTGCTGATGATTCTCACCCTCCCGCGACCGCGACCGTTGCAAGCACCGCAGCTGATTCGTGGGATCCTCGCCTCAATGCTGCCAGTGCCACCGCGACGCCTCTTTCTGCCGCACAGCAAGCGCACCAAGCCTCCCGCCCTCCGGCGACCCCCACCTCTAACAGCGGCTATGCGACCTCGGCTCTAAAGGCGACTACTGATCGCGCCACTCGTACTCCCAGCTTCCAGCGCAGAGTACTTGACCAGGAAGAGGCGGTCCGCATGCCGGGCAATCGCGAGGTCGACCGCACCGCCGTTCAGTTCGGTGCCTTCAACATCGGCAGCGAGGATGATGTTGATGGCGATCGTGAGGAACCTGAAACACGCGCTCAGCCCCCCGCAGAGTCCCCTATCGCCCAACCCCGAACCTCTCTCCCACCTGCTGCCCCCCAGGCCGCCGTGCCCGAGGCCTTCAGCAACCAGAAGACGCAGGCGGCCCCTGCCCCTTCCGTCGCCCCCTCAGGTAAACATCTATGACAAAGGTCTTGATTGACGAAGCATGCTAACCATCATCACATTACAGCTACGCCCGCTACCGCCCCTGCGGCCCAGCCCACCTCTGGGATTCAGCGTAAGTCGAATCAAAACATCACACAGGCATATCTCGCTGACCTCCCGACAGCTCCTCCTGGCGTTGGACAGCCTCAGGGACAGTATTCCCAGTACGGCCAGCCTGGCTCACAGGATGCGTCATCTTTCCCCCAGAAGTCGGTCGATCCCTTCTCGCAACAAACCAACACTGCTTCTACTCCCAACCGTCTGGACGGCTTCCCAAGCCAGCAAACGCAACAGGCTCAACAGCCTGGTGGCGCATTTAGCTCCGCGCCCAGCGAGTATTCCTCCTACTACACCTCCGACCAACAGGGACGCGGCCCCTATAGCTATTACGGTCAGCCTTACGGCCAACAGAGTGGCCAAGGCCACCAGGAAGGCGTCGCCGGTCAGCAGCGATCCTTCAGCGGCTACAACACGTCGCAGGCCGAGAACATCAGCCAGTACCCCCAGAGCGCCGGTCTTCACAACCAGTCTCGCTACGGTGGGGCCGTCTCGAACGATGCCAACAGCGGACACACGACTCCCAATCCCTCTACTCAAGCTCAGCAGCAAGCCGCCGGCCAAGGAACCCAGCCACAATCCCACGGCCAACAGAACTACCCCTATGTGGTGGTAACGGCAACCACCCCTACTACAACAACCCTTACTACTCCAACTACATGGGCTACGGCGGACACTTTGGCCAGGGTGGCTACGGAGGTGGCCCCTACGGCAAGGCTGGCATGTATGGACAGCCGTATGGTATGTCTCCTCAGGGCCCCTATGAACATGCCTCGTCTCCCGCCAGCGGATTCGCCCAATCATCTCTCCACCGTGGCGACAGCGGCCTGGGCGGCTCTAGTCTTGGTGGTGACTATGGTGCCCGCGCTGGCTCTGCGCAGTCTGGCAACCCTGGTAGCCTTGGCGGCAGTGGTTTTGGAGGTATCCAGGACTCTTTCGGTCGTAGCGGCTCGTCTTTCCCCACTCAGTCTTCTGGCCAGGGCTACAACGCCTCCGCTCAGCCGTCGACTGGCGCATCTACCGGCGACGACCTGAAGCCATACGGTGAAACCAAGGCCGGAGCGGGCCCTTCGCCCTCTCTTGGCGGTGCTCGCCCTGGCTCTGCCACGCAGAACACGTCCAGCCAGTCTGGCCTACCCCCCCCTCAATCTGCCTCGCAAATGGGTGGATACGGCGGCTATCCTAGCCACGCGCAAGGCCATGGTCTCCACGGCGGAAGCGGATACGGTATGGGCGGTAGCGGACAGCATGCTAACAACGGCTTCGGCTCCTACGGTCAGGCCTATGGCTCGTACGGGGCCCAGGCTTATGGCAGCGGCGGCCAGCAGCAACAGCAGCAACAGCAGCAGCGCGGCTGGGGCGGCAACTACCATTAGAGAGGTAGTTCGCGGAGAGATTGGAGATCGAGCAATCAAGACTGATCTCCTGCCAGCTGAGCGGTCTAGCTTCGACATGCGGTAATTGGACGGAAACTCATGCGACTGTTTCTCACTCAAATCGAGAGTGTGTGTATGACTTTAAGCGCTTTGTACGATTTACCCACCACGAAAGGTTCTTGGGGAACGGGAGGGGGAAACACTTTCAGAATGGTCTTCGGCCTCAACGGGAATGTTTGTTCCTTTTTATTTGCACAGGGACTCCTTTAATGCGGTTGTCCAGTATGACGGCCGGTGGGGTATTTGAATGCGGACTCCGGGCTCATTGCAGGTGGGCTCGCCAAAGGTTGGGGGTGGACCGACCGGAGGTCTCTCAGGACAGTGAACTCCTTGGAAAGGGGAGAGGTTAGCCAATAAAATGAATCTTGGCGTGTCGGAGCTTTGTGTTGTTTGTGAACAATCCTCGTCTTGATGTTACTCGTTTCTACATACATCACGTTGCATGAGCCGGATGGTCGGAAAATGTTAGAAGCCGTATGTGGTCTTTCTCTTTGAAAGTTTTTCGACAATCCAGCTACCGCATTCACAGCACGTCCTGGCCTGTTCAGAACAAACGGCATGCCATACTGCAATCTATGTCTCCAATTGCGCGGGGTCCTGCAACCCCAGAGCTGCCGACACCCTCTTCTGCAAAATCCAGTATCCTTCGATCCACTCCTTCGAATATCCCTCTATGTGTTGTCCCTTTACTCCTAAACGATCAGCTTCACTATTGAGCCAATCAACCAGACCTTGAACATATTCGATCTCACTGCCTCGCAAACTGTGGAACTGCCTGCTAGCAGTTTTGGCTGTCAGTCGCGTCTCGTACTCAGCCCGCATAGTATCGTGGCTCGGCAAAGCCGCAGCACCTGAGAGCACTTGGGCGATTGCCTGGGCTTGATAGTCGAAGCAGGCGAACGTGACAATATCGAATGGCGTGCCAACGAAAGTCAGAGTTGGGTCAGGAATGTAAAATGTGTCCTTGTAGAGGTTGTGGACTGTCGACTTCGTGGATTCGACGAGTGACGTCCGAGTCACCTGATCTGGAGGAACTTCAAAAGATCTCAAATATGGATATGTGAGCTGATATCCGGTGGCGAAGATGATGGCGTGTACGCCATCCAAGACGCGACCATCCTTCAGATGGAGCTGTACCGGGAGAACATTGTTTTGTTCCAGAACTGTCTCGTCTGCAGAAACCTGGTTCTTGAGGACAATGTGATCTATCTCCGATATCTGCTTTGTTTGATCGCCGAGAATGTTGAAATTGAAGGTTTCCGTGCTCTCCCGCACGCTTTGATACGTCTTGGCGGAGATGCCGTCCAACTCACGACATATGTCGACGGCCGACACCCGGCCACCGACGACGACAACATTCTGGCCAGCAAAAGTCTCCGGATGACGATACTGCTTGGAATGGGTGACTCTTTCGGGGAATTGTTTCTTCAATGTACTCAGCCCTGGGATCTTGGGGATGAAGGGTATGTCATAATGACCAGACGCGATAACGACAGCGTCAAACAAGTGCTGCTCCTCGAAGAATGTAGGCTCTGTATCTTTTGTGCTCTTGTTATCGATTCGAAGAGTTCGAACCTGCCATTGACTTTGACCTTCTGGTTTAATAACTTCTTCCACGCGCGTGTTGAATTCAGTTACAGAATTCACGCCGAAATCTTGTGCAAGCCCTTGAATGTAGTTGTTGACCAAGTGATGAGGAACCACATCGCGGCCAGCACTTTCGGGCCAGGCAGATAGAGAACTCCTCATGAGATAGGTTGGGATGTTGCTGCGGAGGCCTGCGTAGCAAGGCCCTGGTGGTGCGAACGTTTTCCGAGTCAGGCCTTTCTCTGTCCGTAGTGTGGTTGTTCTTGAGGAAAGTCTATCTGGAAAGACCTCAGAAGAACTTTCCGCAGCCAGAGTGACAGGATATTCGGGGTCTTCTGGTTGATCCTCGATATATCGCCATATTCCCCCAGCGGATGAGGATCTCTCGAAGACGGTTACGCGTTGGTTGCGCCTCAGGAGATGAGCGGCGGCTAAGACACCGCTCACTCCTGCGCCGATGACAGCCACAGACTTTTGTGCCGGTGATGTTTTGTCATCTACCGAGGCTGAAGTAAGGCAGTGAGACGTGTCTGAAACACTTGTTGGATTCGCGAAGGGGATGACATTAGGGTTAACCACCTCGATGGGCTTTGACTGTGCAATTGAAGTTGGCATTTCGTGTTAGTACTTTCAGCTCGATCCGTCTTAAAGAGAAAGTTAAACAGCTAAGAACGCCATCAACAGTGCAATAGATCAGAGGACACTTGAAATACATAGCAGGGGAGGAAGTATGAACTCCATCGGCCCCGCCGGATGGCCAGTTGGATGCATGACGTGATCTTGCGCAACATTTAGCATTGACGCTATCTGCAGGGCCCTCGTGAAAACTCACCATTCAGATCAACAGCAAAGCACGGTAGACCCGCATCACTCCTTATCGAGCGACCTTATGCATCGTGTGCCATGTTATCCGGCCTCTGCGGGCTATATTGGTGGATGGATTCCGGTCTGCTTATCAATTCCTCTTCATCGCTTGGAGCCAAAGCGAAAGTCTGGCCTTCAGATTGCACCATCCATACTCGAGTCGCGATTCATCAACTGTCAACCCCAGTCATGATATCAGGGATGGGAGCTATTAGTTTCGCTACTCTTTCTGGTGCCTTGATAGCTCTCGCTGACCATTTACAAATCGACGCTGATACGAGTCTCTTCCAATCGATTTGAAAGCATGAACAAGCAAGGGTGTCGCTGAACTTGATGCAACGCTGCCACTTAGACTTTCGACTCAGCACGTTGCCATTCAATTTATCGGTTCGCTAGATATCCATCAAACCGTAGGGTTGAGCAGGGGAGAAAAGAATCTTGCATTAGGTCTGTAGGCGATGAATAGTGTATATGGTTGTAGAACACATTAGAATTCTGAATGAATCCCGTGGGACCAGGACCATCCGAGGGAGGAACGTTACTTGAATTCTGGCTCTCTTAGCTAGGACTTCTTTCTGTAACTCATACATACGCGTGTCCGTCGTCCCTAGGTCCTGACCAGCACCGTTCCGTGGCTTCATAGGGACCGCCTGACAGGTATATTCAGTCGCTTGGGGTGTATACCTTCGTTCTGATGTGTTTCTCCAGAGCCCAATCGTATCAAAGGCTTACACGGCTTTGATTTTGGGCTTCATATACGTAGTTGTAGATATTGGTATCTAGACAATTCTTAACCCTGGCAGCATATTAGATGCCACGTACGTATTGCAGTGATTCCCAGAAGACACGGTTCGAAGACTAGCATAGGCATGGAGAGTGAACCATGAAATGAAGTCCAAAGCAGGTAACGCGGCTACAGTTCAGGTGGTTTTCTGAACCTGTCCTTGTTTCATCTATTGATGGGCGATGGCGAAACAATGGCAAGAGAGCCGCCGCCACATTTGATCAATACCTACTTCCTGGCTACACAAGTATGGAAGTCTAACGGCGAGAATTAGTATACAGGCCGACGGATAGCTCTCCTCCGAGCATGATATTACCGAGATGCCACAAGGCCTGTGAACCAACATTCGTTGTCACCAAATTCTCGGCTTAGAGAAGCTGACTGACTCAACGACTACTGCCATTCCTCTCGACGACTGCTCTATGACTTTGAATAGTTACAGGCCCGCGAGGAGAAGGAATTTTGATAGGCACCTTGACCATAATATTGATAGGGAGGTAGAAATGTCGGGTGAGCTTTCGGTGATGTGACGATCCACAGAATAACATACCTTTCCATTGATCGGTGAGCTTTTATAAGCCGCGCATTTGTGACTGTCGCCAGCACTTGAGGGAAAAGCGAATAGGGAATGCTTGGGTCAATACAAAAGCTGACGGGAAGCGCCGATCTCTGTTCCTGATTGCTCAGCTGCTCCAGAGAGGAAGCGAAATTTCCGTAAAGTGCCAGGACCGCAGTGGCTGACTGTGGCGCATATGACTTTCGCAACGCAGGCTTTGCTACGTCCTTTTCTTCTAGCCTTGGTGTAGGATTCACATGATCCTGGCCAGTGATCTTAAGTATAGTTGGTGGATCGACTCCAACCTGGCCTCAAATTCAGGTAGCAGTAAGATCTTCCGTTGCAAAGGCTGCTTCTGTGGCTCGACAACAATGAGGTCATGCGCGTCCCAATACAGCAAGTGAAAGCCGTTGTCTAGCTGGCCAAGTCCTCGAAGGTACGTTCAGGCTATTACTGAGCCCTGCAGGCTAGGCTGGCAGATGCACAGCAGAGCGATCTTGGGGAAAATCGAGGGGGAGGACCGCCCAACCCCATGCCCCGCAAAACCGTGATCAGCCAATCTCAACAGATGCGGGGAAAAAGTTAAGCATGAAAACAAGCATGCGCCAAGCTCGGGGCAGACGCTCCAAGATCCACGGCTTGTGATTCATGGAAACCCATGATCAATTTTTCCGATCCATGCAAGCCACCGACCGTTCATGAGCCACTCGAGATGGCAACGAGTGACAAACGCACGAGCCTCAACGTATGAGAGTAGTAGAAGACCTGCTGTAAAATTTGCTGTGTCAAAGAGTGATCGGCGTGTACAATTTGCCAAGGCTTGGTTCGAGGAAAGCCGTCACCGCTGTGCCAGCCTCCCTCAGAAAATGATGAGATCTCAAATATAAAAGACAGCCCATAATCTGCGCCCTCTCATCATGCAGATCTCTCTGTCTCCTTAGGATCATCAATTGGCTTTCAAGACCTCATTCAGCGGGACCCATACGATCAACTGTCTGCTCGACATACACAGAAAACACTTCCCTTGATCACCATGAAGGCCGCCGTTCTCCTGAGCCTCCTCCCGGCTCTCGCCCAGTCCGCCGCTGTCGGGCGTAGGCAGACTGGGGATGGCTCACAAGGCGACTCGGACTCGACTCAAGGTGATTTGGGAGAGAGGCCTCCTCCTCGATTCCCTTTCCCTGTCACCAAGTTCCCTGTCGCCAACGAGACAGTTGTTCTTGAGAACGCCATGTACATTATGCCCGGCCAGGTTTTCGATGGAGGCATGAAGCGTTACGAACGTCCCGAAGGAAGTTGTAATGAGCAGGCCGAAGGTACCGACGCCGATGCTGTATTCAACCTCATGGCCGGATCCACAATCAGGAATGTTATAATTGGCAAGCATCAAGCCGAGGGCATTCATGCCCTTGGCGACGCTTGGGTCGAGAACGGTAAGCTGGGCTGAATGACATGATCGTTGGACACAGAGACTAACATGGATTTTTTAGTTTGGTGGGAGGACGTCTGCGAGGACGCCTTGACCGCCAAGGGGTTGAACACCCAGCTGAGAGTCATTGGTGGCGGTGCCCGCAACGCAACAGACAAGGTCAATCATATCTTCGAATTGGGATCCAAAGGATGTCCGCTGACCAACCTCGCAGATCTTCCAGGACAACTCACTGGGTGGAAAGTACAACATTACTGGCTTCTACGCCGAGGGATTTGGTACTTTCTACCAGTCTTGCGGAAACTGTCTGAACCAAGCCAAGCGTAACGCAACCATTCAAAACGTGGTTGCCGTAGACGGAATTCGCATGGGCATCGTGAGTCTTCCAACCAATGCAGCCTATGTCAGTTGTTTCGAATATTGACCACTATTAGATCAACCCGAATTACGGCGACGAGTTCCGACTAAAGAACGCCCAGTTGAGCGGTCTTGACCCGCATCTGCGACAAGGAGATCGGGAACAACGTCCAAACGGTGCCATACACAATTGGCACTGGTCCCGACGAAAAGTATGCGCTTTACAATACCACAACAGACCACATCACAACCAGCTTCAACGGCTCAGTGACAAACTTTTATGAGCCTGAGGAGCCATATGAGTGGCTTGCTGACTATTGGCCCGAGGGCTTCCACTGAGGTGTCCAGGTTTGGGTGCTTGGCCACGTTGGCGTAGACTATACACGAGGACTTTAATTCAACTACCTACCTACATCAAAAGAAAAAATGATTCGCGTCCAGCCAATCGCAAGTGACAAGGCCAGTGAATCTGCGCACTGACAGAAATATTCGGCGGCCTGGCGTTGCTGTCACCCCAAGTTTGGGTTTGATTGCAGTCAAGCGAGGTTCGAAGGTGGGCCCCTGGTCCCCTCCCTCCTCCGCCTGATTGGACATAAACAAATGGCTGACGCGTGTGATCCTCCAGACCACACCGCTCAGGTGTACGAGCCCACCCTTGGTTTAAGAATGCCGGTCGGCCGTCTCTAATCAGTTCGAAATCTTGGCCGCAACGTTGATTCTGGCAGATCATTCTAATTTGCGAGAGAAACTGTGTGCGATTGTCCCACACCAACGAAGAGGCAACATGCGCAAGGAAGTCAACGAGCCGAGCGCTGCCCCGGTCGCAAGGGAGATGAAGGTCCTCAGTGTAGGACTTCCTCGAACAGGCTCTTACTCCATCTGCCTGGCTCTCACAGCACTGGGCTACAGAAACGTCTACCATGGTCTCCACGCTATCGACAATCCCGAAGACTTCGAGGTCTTCGGTCGTGCAGCAGACGCACTTTTCCCGAGCTTGCCGTCATACAATGGCAATGGTATGACAGCGAAGGATTGGAATGCAGTATTTGGCCCATGCGAGGCCGTCACCGATCTGGCAGGGCCATTCGCCGAGTCCCTCATTGCATCGTACCCAGACGCGAAGGTCATCATTGTCATCAGAGATTATGACAAGTGGCATAGGTCATTCGTTGACATGTTGTCGGGCATATTTCGGCAGGGTCACGATGTTCATCAAAAACTACCTTGAGCCGTGGACAGGGGATCATTCCGCCACGAACGTCCAAAAAATGATGCTTGGTTGGACACGTTCCGAAGATCTTGGCGATCTGGTTTCGAGAACGAGAGAACTTTATGATCGCCACAACGACGGTGTTCAGAGACTCGTACCTGCGGAACAATTACTGGTGTACAAGCTGGGCGATGGGTGGCAACCACTTTGCGAATTTTTGGGCAGGGATATTCCGGGAATTCCATTTCCGCATGGAAACGAGGCGGCAGAGCTCCGACGGATCATCGTCAATAAGCAGCTCAGGGTTTTTCGAGCTGCAGCTATCAAGATCAGTCCGTATGTCATCGGTGCCGCCGTCATTGGAGGGGCAGCCTGGATGGGAATTTCTGCCTGAAGGCGACAGGTACATCGCTGCCCACTAGTTCCGGCCCAAATGAATCACGAATCAGGGGATATGTATCGTTGGCACGATCCCAGCAGCTGCTGCAGGTGACAGTTCACATGAAAACGAAAATTGAACAACGGTTTCAGTCATCAAACGTCGTGTCATTTTAGTCTCGAAACCATGTCTCCTAGCGAAAGCTTCATCAGCTAAGACGCACTATTCCTTGTAGAAGGTAGCGACGTCGAGACGCCCTTTGATGTCAGCAATGTTGACGACCCCCAGACCATTACTCTCAGAGGCAATGTAAAGGCCTGAATCCTTGCCGACTTCGAATGAGACTCCTTTCGGGTCAGAAAGACCCTCACGGTGGAAAAAGCTGGACGAAAAACCGAACTCGGTCGAATTAACATACGGGTGAATTTCGACGCTAGAGCCGGAAACCCGGAGGAAGGATCCAGGCTGGCTAGCAGACTCAATGCTCACTGCATCTTTACCGGCAAGCCCAGGACTGACGATACGGAAAAGATTTTCGCCCAGAGAGCCAATGTCTGCCTCCACTGTAACAACACCTTGTTCGTTATGACGAATGTATTGCGTTGAGTTTGCCGAAGAACGCAGGCGGCTGGGAGTCTCCCCGTCTGAGACCGGTATACCGAAATTCGGTGTGCCATCGGCGTTCCAGTACAGCTTTTGGATCCGAGTATGACGATCAGGGTTGTTTAGCGGTTCCCCCTCGATTTCTTTATACTGACGGGCATGAAAGACGAGCAGGTCACTAAAGCCGTCTTCCGAGACGGTAAAAGCGCTGTGTCCGGGCCCCCACTGACTGGTTTGCGCATTACTGGTGAAAACTGGCTCTTGCGATTTGCGCCATGATGTCGGATCCATCAAGTCGGCGTCAGCGTCGGCTGTCAGAAGACCCATCGCGTAGTTATGGTCGGTGGCACTTGCAGAGTACGTCAAGAACAGCTTGCCATTACGTTCGAGCACGTACGCCCCTTCGTTGACGTTGTGGCCAATACGTTCCCAAGGTAGCTCTGGCCGGGTGATGACGATTGCGGGCTTGCGGATGGACCATGGGTTCTCCATTGGAGCCAACATTAGACCTGTACCAACACCGTTTTGCCAGTTGGGATCTGACTGAGCCCAGCACAGGTATCGTGTGCCCTTGACAACAAAGGTCGTGGCATCGAGGGAGAACGTATCCCAGTCCGAAGTTATAAAACCCTTCTCAACCCAGTCGGCAGTCAGTGCGTTGTCTCCTGTTCCTTCAATGACGAACATGCGAATATCGAAAGGAGCAGCACGCCCCAAGGCGAAATAGATGTACCATTTGTCGTCGATGTAATGTAGCTCTGGAGCCCAAACGTAGCCTACACCTGCATTCGAGGCCGCCCTTGTCCACACGGCGACCTCTTCAGCGTCCGCAAGACCTTGTATAGTCTCAGAACGACGAAGAATGACCCGATCATACTCAGGGACTGAAGCTGTGAAGTAATACCACCCATCGGTATGTCTCACAATCTGGGGGTCCGCGCGTTGGTGAATGAGCACGTTATTGTAAGTGACGGGGGGCGACATAACGGCGGGCGACATCGAGGAGGTGCTGAGAGAGACAATGATACCGAGCACGACAAATGCGGCAGATATGATCTTGTGTAGAATTCGGGCCATTGTTCCGAATTAAGTCTAGAACGAGTGGGAACTCAAGATGGGCCTCGAAATAGCGTCGATGATGAAAATTAGAGACAGGCGAGATAGATGGTTTAGCTCCGTTTATGTACTTTCTTAACATGTGGATACCACTCTTTTCCAGACAAGTATTCCGACTGACCTGGCTCAGTTCTCGGGCTCGTCAGGCCCGAGGCCGAGGGACAGAATACTTTCATGGGTTTAAGACCTGTGATGCTGCATCTCGTCTCGTTGATCCCTTGAGCCAGCGACTCATAAGGAGATGCTGGGACTGAACGCAAAGCCACCCCTCTCCGCATTGGGCTTATAACCTCCACCCCGCAGTCCGTGGTTTCGAATCTTGGCAAGTTCTGATCATCGTCACGATGCATCTTTTTAGTGCCGCATGATTGGGCCGCGTATGTGCTTGACTTGAGACCCACCAATTGCCCTGATCGTTGGCGGAGTTTCCCCCGCCACCCCGCAGACATCATCCTGTTCTTGATCGATCACAGCCAGACCAGAGACGAGGGCTCATCATCGCAACTTCTTGCCCGTAAATCTTGCTATACGCCTTGTGAAATTGGGGGGCGAGGTCATACCTGTTTCTAAGGATGACAAAGAGAACTCGCCCCACCTTGCCAGGCCTAAGTGCCAGTCAACGAAATGGACTTGGTCTTTTATTAGAAGAAAGGTAGTACATGAACATCGCCCTGCGGCTGGCCGACATCTTTGCCGTAGCAGGATCTAGGCATAGAGATAGAGATAACATGCCGAGTGTCCATCCTATCGACCATTCTATTGATGACAGTGAGTGAAGCCGGCGAGGATACATTCGGAATGGCGTCAGCCAAAAGTCTAGGAGGATTGGCTTGGCCCCGACTGCTGGCGGAACTCCCAGAGATTCTGTTAGTGGCTGCCGGTACTCGCCATTGGCAGCAGCGCTTATACTATAGCCTGGTTCGCATTTTTTATGTAAATAGATCAGTAGGAACCGTCAGACGAAACAAGTTGATCGATGTTGGCCCGTTTCTGCAAGGGTAGTCTTCGGGAAAATGATGACGAGAATATAATATAAGCGCCGAGCGATGCGGAAGCCATTCTTTGAAAGGTCATACGTTTAGATATGCATGCCGTATGTCAGCTCACGGCTACGTGAGAGCCGTTACTGCACCACTCAGGTATACTTTTAGATCCGGTAGCCTCAGATCAGCGACACGACGATGTGTCGATGCTAGCACGGACTGCCAGACGTATGTATCTGATACCGGTGAGAGAATCAAGAAAACCTTGTAACGAGTCCGGGCATATTCATTCAAGGTCTTTTTGGGAATGCAGGGACGATTGAAGGATCGTTGAACGCCAGGTCATTCAGACTGGTACCCCCCATAGAGTATAGCCTTGATTCAACTCCAAATACTAGTTCTCAGGGGAAGAGAAGTAATGCTACTCTGGCTCGAGCTCTTGTATTGCTTCGCGTACACTGCCTCAGCTCAAGAAATAAGCTCTTCCGTACATATCCATCGAGAATGCGGGATAGGGTGATGACTGCAACGCGTGGCAAAACACCTCTATCGTCAGCTGAAGCTACCGCCATCATGTCATGTCTACAGGTAGAGATTTCTATCGTATCAGTAGTTGAGATGACACAATAGTTGTAGGCGATCGTGTCCTGAGGCTGTGATGACTCTATGGGTCAAATGAAAGTTTCATAAAGGCCAGACAGGGCCATTTAAATTAATACATCAGCAATTCGTCGCGGATGTAATACATATTGTGAAAATGATTGTAACTCCGGGAACCATAGAACCTGCTCTCAACGCCAGCCCTCGCATGGATCTACGATGTCCCCTTAGCCCATCTCCTCCGATCATAATCTATAGAATCAACTTTCTCTCCTCCACTGCTTAAGGCGGGCTAAGTTAGGTGTTCAATTTCGATTGTGGAGTTCAGTCCACTATTCAGTACCTATCATGGAGGACTCATTGTGATCCATTGTTTGTCACTTGAGTCCATCAAGTCTGAAAAGCAAGGCGTAATTATACCAAGGGACCCTTAATGCTATGAACATTGTCCAATGCACGCCTGTGTCCAAGCATCAGCTCAGCATCACGAGCTCTTCCATACAGCACAACTCAGACAGCGACGACAAATATTATTTTAGAATCTCTTCCTCAGATCAAATTCAATCATACCGAAAACAACATGAAGGCGTTCCAATTCACAGGCAGTGCCAGCGGCCTTCAGCTCCGCAAATTACCAATACCCAAGCCCGGCAAAGGCCATGCTCTGATCAAAGTCAAGGCAGCTGGTCTTTGTCATTCCGACACGCACGTTATCGAAGGTGGCGGCGCTGCTTGGATGTGCACGCTCCCCGTGGTGCTGGGCCATGAGATGGCTGGGACGATTACCGAAATCGACAGTGATTGTGCTTCCCTGACTCTGGGCGATCGTGTGGCCGTTGCCTGTGTAGGACATCCTATCGAGGAACGAAGCTTTAGTGAAGCTCTGGGCGTCGGATGCGACGGGGGCTATGCTGAATATGCTGTTGCGCCCATCAAGAACCTGGTGAAGCTTCTGGATGCCGTAAGCTTCGCTCAGGCAGCAGTGGCGACTGACTCCATTGCGACGTCCTATCATGCTGTTGTCGCCGGAGGTCGAGTCACAGCCACGTGCGCCGTCTGTATTATCGGCTCGGTGGACTTGGGCTCAATGGTGTTACTATTGCCGCCAGGCTAAGGGCTGAGGTCTATGGCGTTGACATCAACCCTGCCAAATTCGAGCCGGCGCGTGCAGCCGGCGCTCAGGCTCTGGCAACCAACATTAAAGACTTTCCAGACAAAGCCTTTGATGTTGTTATTAATTTTGCGGGCGCTCAGCAAACTGTCGAGGGTGCCATGTCTGCTACTCGGGTGGGAGTCACGGTGGTTGTGGTCGGCTTAGCCGCGCCGCAGATAACCTTGACAATGTCGGAGTTCGTCACCAAATATATCTCGGTCAAAGGTTCAACGAGTGCCAGCATCGATGAATTGCGGAATGTCTTGGACATGATAGCTGCAGGCGATCTGAAACCACACATTGAGGAGGTGTCGTTTGAAGACATTCCTTTAAGGCTCGCAAGATTAGGGTCAAGCGAAGTGAGTGGCCGGTTGTTTAGCATTCCGTGAGATATTTGGGAATGAGTTCCTATTCATCGTCAGAGCTTCAGGCATGTCCTCATGCTTGAAGTATATGAGCCGCAGCTGTGGAGAATTCGCTCGAATTTTGCCTGTGTCAATAGACTTGTATATGCTCTATCGCCAGCTGTCCAGATGTTCATAGGTGCTCTTTTTGGCAGTGGGTAATAGATAGTCGATGGAGTGTCTTTTCCCAATATTGTCTACGTCAATCCCAAAATTGCTCAATTTATTCAGGGCATAGAATGTGATATCAACGAGCATGGACAGTTTGGACAGATGACCGTCTTTTCTCAGCAGATGGCGGCTGTTGGTATATCTCATCGGTCTACTTGCTCATCTTCCACCTTTCTCAAAGGTCAGTTATGGGCTTCCGTGGAGACTCAGCGGTCACCCGACCCGTGACGACATGTTAGACACATGGCTGGGGCATTGGATAAGCACCCTTGTGTGGGATCTGGCCCAGACGTTGGAGATCATTCCTAAATTATTATCACAGGCCAATCGTATAGACCCTCTCGATTCCTCGATACGGAAGGTCACACTCGGCCGGGTGGCGTCGGCACCCGGACTGCAGTAGTCCGTCGACAGACGAGGGGTTATTTCTTCCCACGGCGAAGATAAATAATGGCCATACCTCAGCAATTAGATGCCTACTCTCCAGTGCCAATTCTATATCAAAGTCAAAATGACGATCCTTCGGCTTGCCGCGGGCCTTCTCCTTCTTTCACAAGCCTTCGGTCTTGTAGCCGCCTCCACGGAACTTGGCACCACGGAGAACCTCGGCTTCTTTCAGGGGTTGGTAGAAGATGCCACTCAGAACCTTGCGTCGCCGCTTCTCAAAACAAGACAAAATAACGGCGGCGCACCGGACCCCGCAACTCTTTATCCATCTTACACGCTGTCGGTACCCATCGATCACTTTCATAACGAATCAAAATACGAACCGCACTCTAATGGATCATTCAACTTACGATACTGGTTTGATGATCGCTTCTATAAGGAGGGCGGCCCTGTGATTGTCCTCTCCGGCGGCGAAACGAGTGGCCAGGGGCGCCTGCCGTTCTTGCAGAAAGGCATCGTTGCAATCCTGGCTGAGGCGACGAACGGTCTCGGCGTCATTCTCGAGCACCGCTACTACGGAGCTAGCTACGTGACGGAAGATCTCAGCACCGAAAACTTACGCTTCCTGACCACCGACCAGGCTTTGGCCGATACAGCCTACTTTGCCCAAAATATTGTATTCCCAGGATATGAGGACGTAAATCTTACTTCTCCAAACACCCCTTGGGTCGCATATGGCGGTTCTTACGCCGGTGCGTTCGTCGCCATTCTCCGCAAGCTGTACCCCGACACTTTCTGGGGCGCCATCTCATCTTCGGGTGTAACAGCTGCAGTAGTCGACTTCTGGGAGTACTACGAAGCTGCTCGACTTTTCGCGCCGGAAGGCTGCGCACCAGCGACGCAAAAGGTGACCCACGTGGTCGATAATATTCTGCTGGGCGGCGACCGAGATGATATTTTACAGCTCAAGACGGTCTTCGGTCTCACCAATGTCACTCGCGATGTTCATTTTGCAAACGCCATCAGGGGTGGGATCGCAGGACTGCAATCGGTCAACTGGGATCCGGCCATAAATAGTCCTGCTTTTGCGCTTTACTGCGGCAACATGACATCGACCAAAGTTCTATACCCTGCAACAAACGATCTGAAAGACTCCATCAAGTCAATCCTAGTGACAGGAGGGTATCAAGACGAGCTTGATGCCCTCACGCTTACTGTGCAGAATTACATTGGTTACGTCAACCTCACACGTGTGTCGACTTGCCGTGGGCGTCCGCAGGACTTATGTTTCGGAGGCCGGACAGACTTTTCCACGGACAACCTTAATCAGGTTTGGAGGCTTTGGCAATATCAAGTCTGCACTGAGTAAGTGAACTACTGTTCCGTGGCAGACTTGCACTAGCACTAACTCTTTTTCATAGATGGGGCTACTTCCAGACAGGATCAGGCGTCCCAGACAGCCAACTTCCAATGATCTCGCGTCTGATTGATTACAATTTCACCTCAACTACATGCCGCGAAGCTTTCAATATCTTCGACGAGCCTAAGGTGGAGAACATCAACAAGCACGGTGGTTTCCTTTTCAGCTTCCCACGTGTGGCCATATTAGATGGCGAAGCTGATCCATGGCGTGCTGCTACACCACATAAGATTGGGCTTCAGTATCCAGAGTCCACGGTCAGCGAACCTCGTATGATCATTGGCGGTGGCGCTGTTCATCATTGGGATGAGAATGGCATCTTCAAGAACGAAACGACATGTCAGTTACCGCCACACCCAGTAAAAAAAGCCCAAAGTTTCATTGTTGAATTTGTCAAATCTTGGCTTGAAGAATGGGAAACCCAGCATTAGAAACTGGACTATTGTGGACATTATCAGATCTTGAATCAGATCTTGAGGACGCATCTTGGCATCCACAAGAAAGTTAAGAGGTCGGCGGCATATCACTCAAATTACACGCTAAGCTGCCAGCACTGCAAGAATGAGTTTGGCACCCACAAGAGAAGAGCACGTCTGATTGCCATGTGAAAAGCTCGCTGCAAATTGTGCTTGTTCAGCTAGGTTTTCCTAGCGAAAAAGTTTTCGGGATCAGGAGCGTGTCCCAATTTTTTTCACAGCTAAAAGGCAACTTCTGGTTGCACATGTCAAGAAATATCTCCGGGGCGGCAATCTCAAACAGGAGGCGCATGAGAATATTCTGGGGGCACGAGACTCCATCGGCACATCCATGGCCGTGGGCCCTCATAGATGCAGAAGACGAATTTTAGATGTTTTTCTATCTTGAACACAACAACTGGCTGCCGGATTGACCTGGGCAAGACCCCTTTCCTCAGGAGATACTCGCGCTGGAGCCCTACATCACAGGATGGTTTGCAGGCTAGGGTGCGAAACGTGTCAACGTAACCGCGTGGCTCAGAACTGGCCTCAAGGCAAACCACTTGACGGAGGGGTAGACTTGAGAATGATGGAAACCGTCCCTGTCGTACTATCGGTTGTATTCCACTGGATGGCGCTGGTATCTCTGCCACTTCCCAATTGATCAGCCGCCCAAAGGGACTCAAAGGCGCCACCAGATGCGAGGTGGTAAGCCACAGTTCCATAGAACCCGAAGCCATCGTTGATTCGATCTCCAGTAGTGCTAGAGGGTTTATCAAGGTGCACTGCGTCAGACCCAGACGAAGGATTTGGAATACTGAGAGTAAGATTGCTCCAGGTTGGAGTGTTGCCAGCATTTGACGTTGAGTTGGGAAACCCATACCATGTGCCTTCTTGGCCAACGGTGACTGTGCATCATTAGTGAACTTCTAGAGGCTTGCCTTTGTGCGTCATAACTAACATGTAACCACGGCTCCCTCCGTGCTATTCAGGCCATACGAGCTACTAATAAAAACTTGAGCTTCACATGATTGTCAGTCAGGTCGGTATGCAAGATTCTGAGGAGCGGCTCACATCCGTCGGACATGACAGGCAACCCGCCAATGCCGTCACCGTAAGCATAGAGCTCGAATGACATGCTACCATCAGCATTTTGCCGCTTGTGGAAACGCCCTGCTGATGTAAAAGTGGCAAAACAATAAAGAATGAACTTGATAAAGCGCATTTTGGATGATTGAAGGCAAGTGGACACTACGGTTGTTGTTTGGGCGACTGATGACTATCTAGGAGAATGTTCCAGTCGAGGTCACAGTGAGTCTATATATATTCAGGTTTCAGCGTGCCGCGTCACCTCCCTCTCGATTCTGACCCTATTTGCTTACAATATCACAATCATTCTAGTACCATGTCATCCATTGCTCAGAAGGTGAACTCAACCTTCGGACCTGCCCCACGAGGTTCACAACTCGGAGGAGGCTTAGATAGTTACAGGGTCCTGAAGACCCACCTGTCATTTGTGGAGAGAATGCACGTAGAGAACTCTTGTACTTGCCCAAGGAAGGCGGTCATCATAGCGCTCGAGCCCCTTTGTTGCAGGCGGATGGCATTCCGTAGACCGTGTGTTTAGCATACCATACCACCCAACACCCCTTTAACAACATTTACTAGAAAGGTCAGTGCGCCATCGTTGTGGATCAAACCATCGGCATTGACCGCGGGAACTACATGGGTATCCCGTTCTGAACCCTGCAGACTCGCGTTGCGGAAGGGGTCCGGGCATCGCTTTCGGAGGTTGTTACGAATGAAGACTGGCGTTGTGCAGCTACAGAGGGCGGAACGTATACTTTAATACACAGCGGCTGTGATCTTTAGCTGTTATAAAAATAACCTAATCTGTATGTTCGGAGCCGCCGCGCCAAGAAAGCTGATGACGACTAAGGCGATTCAAGTGTGACTATGAAGTAGCCTCAACAAGGAGCAGCAAAGCCAGGAGAAGGACTCGTCATCACGTACAAAAACTTCAGGGGCCAATGGCGAATTGTTACCCAAGCCGGCTTGACGGCATGAAATTCACGAGTAAATGTGCTTGAGCTACATGGGGGTCATCACCAGTGATTGTAAGGGACGAAAACGTTCATGATGTTTTTGAGGCCAAAGGTCGAGTGAGAAAGACGCGGTCCACGCATTGTCGTCTCACGTACAAAAGACAAAGTGGTCCTCATCTCATTGAGACAAATTCAGCCCTCAGCTCACCATACTAGCTATCACAGCATATTGTTCTTCAGTCATTGACTCGATTTTGTTGCATCAAGTCTGAACCATAGATCCATTAGCCTTATTGTTTCACCAAACGGCCTAACAAAATGCTGTCGTTGCGACTTTTCGTTGCCTTGATGGCTATTCATTCGACAAACACTGCTCTTGCCGCTCCCAGTGTCACCATGGGTACGAGGGCAGTCTGCAACGGCAACACGCCAGCGACAAGGTCTGAGTGGTGCGATCATTCCATCGACACAGACTGGTGGACTGAGGCAGTAGACACCGGCGTCACTCGAGAGTATTGGCTTGAGCTTACGGATGTCAACGTAGCCCCGGACGGCGTCAATCGAACCGCCATGGCTGTCAATGGCTCGATCCCAGGCCCTACCATCTTTGCGGATTGGGGCGATACCGTGACAGTTCATGTCACCAACTCTCTGTCGACTTCCCTCAACGGTACCAGTATCCATTTTCATGGCATGCGTCAGAACAATACAAACCAGCACGATGGTGTGGCAGCTGTGACTCAGTGCCCCGTTGCTGTTGGCGAGTCCGTAACATACACATGGAAAGCGACTCAGTATGGTTCAAGCTGGTACCACTCACACTTTGCCCTGCAGGCATACCAAGGCATCTTTGGTGGCATTATCATCAATGGTCCTGCCTCTGCCAACTATGACGAGGATCTCGGTGTTGTTTTCCTGAACGATTGGGATCACCAGACGGTTGATGAGCTATATGCTGTAGCTCAAACGAACGGCCCCCCCATGCTTGACAACGGCCTCATCAACGGTACAAATGTTTATGGTGATGACGACGATGCGTCGCAGACAGGCAAACGTCTCACTATACCTTTCAGCGCTGGAACCTCATATCGCATGCGACTCGTCAATGCTGCAGTTGATACACACTGGAAGTTTAGCATAGACAACCACACTTTGACGGTCATTGCTGCTGACTTGGTTCCTGTCGAGCCATACATTACGACGATGGTTGATTTGACTATGGGTACGTCAATATTTCCTGATGTCTCGAAACTACTTACTCACTAGAGCAGGCCAGCGTTACGACATCATTGTTACGGCGAACCAGTCAGAAGCGGCAGACAGCTTCTGGATGCGCGCTATCCCCCAGTCAGCTTGCTCGGACAACGAAAGCACCGATAATATTAAGGCTATCGTGTATTATGGAGATTCCGTGACGACACCTCAGACTATTGGTTACGATTATACGGACAGTTGTGATGACGAGACTGACAATCTTGTCCCTGTCGTCTCCAAGGCCGTCGAAGGTGCTGACTGGAGTGACCTGGCAATCGCTACAGTTGGCCGCAATTCGGCTGGCCTATTCAAATGGTACCTCAACAGCACAAGTCTGCTTGTTGACTGGGCCGACCCAACTTTGGGACAGGTCCTCGCTGGAGCTACCGAATGGGAAACGGAGAATGCAGTCCTTCAGCTCAGCGAGGCTAACAAATGGGTGTATCTCGTCGTCCAGACGGCAATGGGGGTCCCTCACCCAATTCACCTGCATGGTCACGACTTCTTTGTCCTCGCCCAGGGCAGTGGGACTTATTCCGCATCAGTGACCCTGAATACGGAGAACCCTCCACGCCGCGATACTGCTCTTCTGCCGGCTTCCGGATACCTTGTCATGGCTTGGGAAACCGACAACCCCGGTGTTTGGTTGATGCACTGCCACATCGGATGGCACGCTTCGGAAGGCTTTGCGCTGCAGTTCATCGAGAGATACAGCGAGATTGCTGGTATAGCTGATCAGAGCAGCCTCGATGACGGGTGCTCTACGTGGTCAAGCTTCCAGGACACGTATTCCATCGAACAGGAAGACTCTGGTATCTAGTGACATCGTCATGCATCCTGCAGCTTTTGGCACAACGTTCAACATATGTGGACAGTTATCTTTGTACCATAAATTTTCCTAATAAAGACGTGCACTGCTGGCCAACGATCTCAACCCGCGGTCCGCATTTTAATCACAACACATGAGGCCAGACGATTCAACGATGCGTCCGCGCATGCGGCTTCACCATCCAAAACTGCACTTCATTTGATCTCACTGTGTCGATTCTACTGACCTGGGCGTGCTCAAAGGTCTGTACAGTCTGGGGCTGCAGGTGAGTGCAGCCTTTGCGCGCGATTGAGCATGTTTTTGGATGATCCTGTATCTCCGTCACAGTCCAGCCCGCGGCAGCCGCGGTCTGCGCCCTGACACAAGAAATCCCGATATCTCTGAGACACGGGACAATACTCCGTTCGCATATCACAGTGGACGGACATTAAGAAACGCCATCATGCTTTCATCGCGTCGTGGACGAATTATAGATGACGTGGATGCGGAGTTTTTTAATCGAGCAAATTTCAGATTCATCATTGCGAGCACTGAGTGCCATATGACGAATTCCTGATAGGTAGCTGGCTAGACAGTGTCGTGGGGGACAATCAAATGGCGCTGGTTGGTGGCAGCGGCCAAGGTGGCGTGGTGAATCAGTCGACACGAACGAGAAATTGACATATGTCCCAAATGTCAACGAGTAAGTTACATGACGATGACGAGACCTGAGTCAAGATGGGCAATGATTTGATTGTTCAATCTGCCTAGGACTCCTTCTCTCATGTTGTAAAATCGGTGGAAACAAGCGCAAGACCGTCGCATCACCAATGTTAATCACTTTGCAAGCGGGTACACTGCCAGATTGTCGAGATTGTCGGATATCACCCGGGGAGCACAGTCCACGAGCTATGCAGACTGCTGAAGTCTTATTTATGCTTGCCAAATGTCAGTGTGACGAATATCAACTTGACACTAGGAGGCTTACAGGGCAGCCTTCGCAGGTGCAACTCGGGCCGCAGCCACACGAGCCAGAAGAAGCGCAACCACAGCCGCCCATGGTTATTTGATTGTCAAAGATTTTCAGGAGGTCGAGGAGGTTGAGCGAGGTTTTGAAGTGATCAGGTCTGGTGAGCGATGATACAAGGTATATTGCGGAGAGGAAATGGGGAAAACGTCGAGAGCAGCGAGGGCGAGACTTTATGGGTTCTCAATGGAAGCTACAGTCTGCCGAGACCAGTCGCCCAGGCCGTACCAGCAGCGAGCGAGGGCGAAATATCCAATCAAGCCGTGCACCTTCCACTGGAGGTTCGGAAGCCTCTCCACCTATGGAGTGAAACACCCCCCCGTGAGGGGGTGGCCGGTAAGATTGTGGCGAATGACGTTGGATAACCGTACCAAGTGAGCTCCGAAGTGTCCTGTAAGCCCTGGGTTTGAGGTAGCTCCAGGCGATCGATGCGGGGAAAGCCTGGATCGTGTCAATGGGCGCTGTCAGCAGCGCTAGGCTACACTGGGCTTGAGGGGGAGACAGGCAACGATTCATGCCTGAGGTATGACGTCTACAAACATGTTGTTCATTATGCTTTGAACACCTGGATTCGCCGAGTGACCGACCGCGACTGGAGTGCTATCCGCATTCCATTTCACCCTATACAGCATGTTGATCCGTCCTTGACATCGGACTTAGCATCTTCTATTCCCTGCGCCCTACGACAAGACCCCGATCCGAAAGGAGGCAGTGGTCCTGGCAGGAGTCTGTGAGATGAGCGCTGGATGTCGGAGACGGCGCGCGCAGGCCTGATAAATCTAATCCCCTCCGGTTAACAATTGATTAGATAGTTTGACTCTTTGAAAAATCCCTCGACTAGAAACAGAAGATCGGATCTAAATTAGATACAAATAGTTCTATGAGCCCAGGCAGAGGAAAAAGTGTTGCACACTCACGATTTGCGCTAGAACATTGGATTGCTGTTCTTCGGATGATTTTGAATTCAAAGCAGCCGGCTGTGACTCTCCTGGAACAACCATCAGGCAGATGACGTGACTTGAAAGATCAGATGTTCCCTTTTAAGGCGATCTCGGCAAGAAAAATAAGTGCAACAATAGACAGTAACAATACCACGATTAGCTTGCAACAAAAATGCCAAGTCGTGTATAAAATAGACTTCATCGTGTAGTTCACGGAAAAAGATCGACCTTGAAAATTCTTAAATGCCGGCACCGGCCATTAGAGTTAGAAGAAAGCTTTTTTTGCCTTGCGAGCCACGGGCCCAACACCAGAGGCTGACCTCTACCAAAAAGAGATTCCAAATGTCCAATATAAAAGAGAACGAAACGGTTTGGGTGAATTTGGCTGCCATGCAAAACTCAAATGCATGAATATCTCTTTTGCAGGGTATGTCGTCGGGGTCCAGAACATGAGCCCGTCGAAATGATCTTGGTTTTGGTGAATTGCTTGGCCTGTTTGGCTTGCTAAATAGCAGCGAATGTGGGAAACAAGGATTGAGGCCTTGTGAGTACCTTTTGACTAGTTGCTATATCCATAAAGATTTCAATGTACTTTTCGAAGTCACGATATTCCAAATACTGTGAGGCCTCTGGCCTGTATCGACAGCTCACCCGTACCACCAGATTTGACACCCTGGAAGACGCTGATATTTACCACTGAGTTTTCTTTGTCTACAGCCATTGATGCTCTTCGAGCGTCTTTGTTGATCCGTTGTGTCGTTACCTGGAAAGTGGTCGTAGCGAAGCAACAATGCGAAAGGTCTTTGGCTATGTTGGCATCCCG